GCAGCTAAATGTCAGTTTAAGCACTCGGACAGTAAGTTGAGGAATAATGCTGGTGAGAATTTGTACATGAGGACTCCAGCGTACAGAGACAGTATGACTGACAGAGTCAAAGCTGCCAAACAGGTGACTGAAAATGCAAGTGGTTTCGAAAAAAAAATCCCCAGTGTATCTTTAGGGAACTGAAGCATGGTTTACTGAGCTTTCGTATTACGGTGTAGGACAAGACCTCAAGCTGACCATGGACCTGCTGAATAGAGGTGTTGGGCATTATACTCAGGTATGCCGAATAGAGTTGTTACTAATAAAAGAAGAAAAGTTTTGCTGCCAAGAATTTCGAAGAGCAGTAAAGCTCAAAGCGGATTAAATCTAGGTTGTATGGCAAAACGCCAAATATGTCGGTTGTGCCGTTCAAACCTGTTCGAACATGACACTCGTTGTCTGCAACTATGACACGTGAGTATTATTGCTACTAACTCGGTTTCAAGGCAAAGGTTCTAGAGGAAACTGGGTCAATCAAAACATTTACGAAAAAGGAGAACCCTGCACGAAGTGTCCTGGTGGTTCTACATGCTCCGACAACCTTTGCGAATTCGGATCGAATGCAGCACCTACAGATAATCAAACGCCTATGCCAACACCTACAAAGAAAGTTGAAGCAACTGCACCAACAACGACTTCAACAACAACAACAACAACGAGAAGGACAACACCTACAAATAAGCCAACGACTAAGCCAACACCTACAAAGAAGGTTGAAAAAGCTACACCAACAACGACTCCAAAAAGAACAACAACAACAACAACAACAAGAAGGACAACAACGAAAGCAACAACCACAACAACAAAACCAACAAGTAATAAGCAAACTTTATTACTTTGGAGACAGTAGTGTTGTGCTTTAATGACCTTGTTATTAGCTACGACTACGAAGGCATCCACATCAACTACAACAGGTTTTGAAAAGCAAAACCCGAAACTTTGTCCGTCCAATAACGGTATGACTGATGAAATGCGCCAGAAATTTTTGGATACACACAATAAGCTTAGGTTGGTTTGATTTCGCACTTCCACCGAAACCTCTCAAAATTCACGTTCTCCACTTAGATCGTTGGCCGCCTCTGGAAAAGCTCCAGACGGCCTTGGAGGATATGCACCCCAAGCAGCAGGAATGTTGAAATTGGTACATTTTTTTCTCAGCAGAATCATCTAGCAGTAAATAACTTGTTCTAGAAGTACGACTGCCAAATGGAAATATATGCAACAAATCACGTTAGCAAATGTGTATGGGGACACTCTAAAAAAGAAACTAGACCTTCTGCTGGTGAAAACCTATTCAGAAGAAGCCCACCATATAAAGACACTGCAAGTGATCAAGTCAAAGCAGCGCAGCAAGTAAGTCCTTGCACTTAGATTCCCTTCGAAAGAAACATGAGTCAGTTTTGAGGGAACGGAATCATGGTTCACTGAGCTGTCTGCCTATGGTGTCGGGCAAAACCTCACGTTGACAGATGAAATGCTGAATAGAGGTGTCGGACATTACACACAGGTGCATCATATTTTTTATTTGTACAGAGAAAACAAAGCCGTAAGCTGCCAAGCTTACCAACAAACAAACGTCCCACTGCCAAGCTTACCAACAAACAAACGTCCCATCATCCATATAAATTAAGGTGGTATGGCAGAACACTAAGGTCGTTGGCTGCGCTATCAACAACTGCGGAAGCTTTACTTATATAGCCTGCAATTATGGAGAATCGTAAGTAGAAAGCGCTACCTACTGTCTTTACCATTCTCTTTCGTACGAGCACAGTTTTCAGAGGCAACTGGAAATACGAAACCATTTATGAGAAAGGAGCTCCGTGTTCGAAGTGTCCTAAAAATTCTACCTGCTTGGATAATCTGTGCGTTCTCAAATAAGGCAGAACAACTTGCAAAATAAATATGCAATGGAATTTGTAATCACATGAGTTGTAATTGCGCTTATGCAAATGGCGATAGTGGAAAGTAAAACAGTCGGTCTGCTATCTCTTTCTGTAGTGAAAGATGTGCGAGTTACGAAAGATGGTTGCTCAAAAGCTGATTTATAGCTGCTTCGTTTTCTCTAGTCATGCTTGCACGATTATTTCTTCTGACTTAAAGTTAAGGTAACTGACGAAAGACATCTATCACGCCGGGATCTTAAGACTAAAATATAACAAGTAAACAAAACATTTTAGTTTGAGTAATAGAGCTGGCATCTTTGGTATACATCCTATTATGACAATACGCTAAGGCCGTCGTTTCTATGTGTGCATGTGTGAATGTATGCGTGTCTGTGCGAAAATCTATCAATTCACGAAATACATAGTGCGAGTGACAGCCAACGTCTTGAGCCACAATTTCGCAGAGCACACTTTACCAGCAGTGGTTTCTGTACAGGGACCGCTTAGTCCGATAAGCAGCTCTACAAGAAATTGCACTGAACGGATCTACATGTCTTCTAGTCCGCAAAAAGGCATCGATTTTTGGACATTTTGCAAAGTCAAGAATTTGTTGGATATGTAAAGCTGTAAGCCATGGATTTGAATCGAAGATCAGAAAGCCTATTTCTTGCGAAAACGACGTCAGGGAATGGTTGCGTAAATCATCGCCTTTCAATTGCCTCCTAAGCAACTGAAAAAAGATTACCTAGACCTATAGTTTACAATGGTCATTCTCCTCTTGAAACTTTCAAACCGAAATCAGTTCGGTAACCGATTCAAACTCGCCTTTGTATTTCCACATATTTCTCCTCTCACAGTTACCGGTCTAGCATGGAAAAGCTGTTGGAATGAGGTATTGTTTGGTATTCATTGACGGTCAGCACTGTGCAGTGGCTTTTAAGGCCATCAGTATGGGAACACAAAAGAACGGAGATGGTAGAACCGATGCGGACCTCTGGGATGCATACGTGACACACTGGTTGCTATATGCCGACTTGACTCAAAAACTTATACAAGTGAGAGTGGGGGGGGGGGGGCTGTAAACTGTGAAAGAATCACATACTGGCAAAAACAAGTGAGATTGGTTTGTTGAAACCATCAATCTAACTTTTGCCAGCAGCTTCACAATATTTAATGAAATTACGATGACTTCAATCGCTAACAAAGAATATAGGCGATTTTTAGCTTATTCCAGACTTAACAAAGAGGTGACCTCTAATCCTTATCACCATCACATTGTTATTGTTTCAAATGAAAAAACAAAAGTGCTTTCTCATTTTGAACTATGATGTAACGGTTTCACATCTGCGTCCCAAACAATGAAGTCTAGTTCTTGTCAGCATATGGTATGATGAAATAATGGTTTAGAGTGGTGTGTCTTTCAAGTTTAGTTCAGAAATTGAAACAATCACACTTGACCATGTCTTAATTGCTTCTTCTCAAAATCTACATGACCGATCGAACTGAGAGGCTGACAGAGAATGTCTCCTGATATAATCAATAGTAAACCATCAGATTGGTTGTTTGACCAAATTACTACTACCTCGATTTTCCAGTAATGTCCATCCTCAATTGGCTCTACTATCCCTGCTATAAATGATACTATCTACTACAAATCAAATAATAAAGAAAAGTGTATTATTTACTGTCCGAAAATATAATTACGTATGCTTTTGCTTTATTCGTGAAAAACTGCGAATGTGCTAAGAATTCCACCCCAAAATGGCAAGCATGCTTTTGGTCAAAACGAATCAGAGAAATTAATGAGAGTTTGTAATCAAGTCAATATAGCCTTGTTGGTCAAAAGAAACAAAGTTTTGTAACAATTCAAGCATCCTATGGCCAACACCCATTGTGTTTGACAAAATCCATATTAACGAGTATTTATTCCAGTCACCCTGCATTCGTTTGACACATAGGTAAATGCCATACTTATCCAATTTAATCGGATCATCCAGTCCACTTAATCAGTATTTTACGAATCATTGAATTGGCCAATGGCGAATGGGTTAATCAGATGTACGGATTGAACCTGTAATATGACGCCTACTTACCCCTAAACAATCCGCTGATAAAAGTGTGCATTTGAACTGGCTTCTTTATGCTGTACAGGCTGTTATATCATACTATACCCCTCTGTTTCGGCTCCATCTCGAAGGTCCGGAAGGAGTCAGTTACGGAATGAATTTAACGGCGTTGCCTATTCTTTTCGGAAAACGCCCTTTATTCTCAACAGTTTCACGACTTGGGCCTTGAGGATTTTGTGATAGTATAAGCTGCAGTGTCTCTGCAGGATAGGCAGAATTAGCCGTACACGCAATGTCTAGATTTGCTGAGATTCACAACATAATACGATGCAAAATTTTTATTCTTGTAGGGTTCCGTTAGCACTGCAATCAGTTGGATGTCCTCATTCAGTCCTTACCTATTTAGGCCTCGGACATGCTTTCCGTAATTTCACTCGCGACGCGATCTGGCAATTTACCAAACGTTTCCGACTGCAACTTGCGTACATAGTATGACCCTCGCAAAAGAAGGTCCCTTCTTTCATATATCAAAATGCGCTTACGATGAGTTATAAAAATCAAAGTACAAATCGCGTCGCGAGTGAAATCACGTCAACTATGCCTGGAGCCATGCATAGTTAACCAATCAGCGCTTTACTGCTCCTCTTTTGTTAATATCGAAAAAACACGAAAAAGAAGGCAAGATCTATTGCAAAAAAATGTCCAAAAAGTATTTTTTTTCTTTTTTTAAAGCAAATCGTGCCGAAAAAGCGACCATCAAAGATCACAACAAGGTAGACAAGTTTAAGCATTATGCTATAGTTATCTCATAAATTTTGTTTTTGCTCACACTACAATGAGTTTGCTAACTCATTACCGACCCTCCATGAAGCCTTGGTCAGGAAGATACAGTTTCCCAAAACAAGTACTTTCTAGGTTTTGATTATGATTGTGCGAATACTGACACAAGGTATAGCATCTTCATTTATTTTAATAAACCATGACAGTTGAGTAACTGATTTATGTTAATTTTGCCATTGTTTCTACACCTTTTGCACACTTTTAGTAATTTCCTCCAAAGCTTTTATTTGATTTGTTATCGCAGTAGAACGCATTTGCAGTGTTTGGCATATACATCTCAGCTGAAACCAACTTTGAATAGAACACTCGAGAAAGTCTAATAGATGCACTTACATTTTCTAGCTTTTTGGTTATAAGTTCAACTAAACTGTTTACTTTGGTGCAGATTGACTCTAGCTTCCCCTTCGAAATGTTCTAAACTCAATAAAACTTAGAACACAGCAATCACTATAGGCATTGTGTATACTTCAAAGTTATCCATAAGATTCTGAATCCTGGAAACTTTTTCCTGGAATCTTCCCATACCGTCTTCATTTATTTCTACTTCCTGGAGCACTATCCAACTTGTTGAAGAGCATAAGATAAGTTTTTCTTTTACCTCTATATCGTCAAATTCGTCATCCATTTCCAGATCATCAACGCTTGTTGAGTTCTGTAGAAACTTCCTTATAAGCGGAAAATAGCGACTATTTCTAGCTAGATAGCTCATGGCTAATTCGTTATTCAGCATAATTTTGTTGTGAAGTAGATGATGTACAGTGATGTCTTGCATCTCGTCGTAAACCGACGTCATCTAAATAAAAATTTATCTATTTACTCTTGTCGTAGGCTAACATCGTGACTACAATGAATGGTTGAAAGCGAGGGGAGAGGGGCTAAATTTTGTCATTTGCCCACCTTCTCTTGCAGAAATCGAAAAATGGACTCAAATTAGATGTAACATATTGATAAATATCCATGTAAATCATTTGCGTTTGCAAAATCACTCAGATCGGTACGCCATAGGCCGAAAAGTGGGTCCTTGAAGGCAGAGCAAAAATTTGCGGTAGCGAAGCTCATATGCTGGAGCGCATGTCATGCACCGTTGGAGTAGATAACCGCTCGCGCAGCCTTCGCGTGCGCTCACCTATAAGCACCAGCCTTTGTTCGGGACTGGATTTACCACTTGCTCCTTCGCGCACAGTCTCTATGTATGATATTTTTTTCTAAGTCTGGAAGGGAAAAAACTGTGATGGACTTTGTCAAGCCATCCAAAGGTAGTCATCTCTGCATCCTAAGGGAGAGATGACTATCTTTGGATGGCTTGACAAAGTCCATCAGTTTCTTTCCCTTCCAGACTTAGAAAAAAATATCATAAATAAAGACTAAGACTCCTAAGGGTGAGGAATTGTGCATAATGTGCACTCAACTTCATGCCAAAAAGCAAGGTATACATATTTGTGACTATCTATCTATAGGTTCGTCTCAAATTTCCGCGCATGGTAGAAGTTTAAAACTGTAAGTGAAATATTTTTCTTGAACTAATTTAAAGTCTCGCGTAAGACCGGGACTACCAGCTAGTTAGAAAAATACTCAAACTATTCGTGATGTAATTTATGTGTTTAATTGAACCATGACATTCAAAAAAGCTTCCAACAAGTTTTTGGATTTTCTTTTCATTCCAGATAGAAATTGATGATTGCTAGTTCTCTGACCGCAAACTGTCACGTTCCAACGGATGTGCAGAGCCTTCTTAACATCAAGAAGTTCGGGGCAGAGGACATTAGGTCGAATAGGCTCCACCCGCACGGACAGATGGTACGAAGTAGTAACGACGGTAAAGGCGCGCAATTTGTTGCAGGTCTGCGTGGGACCTCCCCTTTCGGCGACCCAATGTCCTCTAACCAGAAGTTCGATGGTGTTTTCAGTTTTGACTTATATTGCCGAGATAGGAGGTCCCGCGGGGAACTTCACATTATGGTTCATCCTATTTGTCCTCGGTGGTGAAGCCTATCAACGACATTTTGTCCTATACACTTTGATTTTGACTGGTAAATGAGGGGACAGCAGAGAACAATGACAAATCTTATTGTCGAGAAACTCGTTACACCTCTGCAACTTCGAAAACTCGCACATATTTGCAGTTTCATAATTCATACCGCAACTCACAAGATTCAGCTGGATGCTTGAGCTAGATGTTAGATGCTAGATCTTGTCTCACCAACAATCAAAGTGCTTTCTCCAACATACCAATAGCGCAGATGATAGTGAGTGAGTCTAGAGTAAGGTATATCGCCTAGGTGTTCTCTTGTGCTACTTGATTCGCATTCTTCGGAACCGCAGCAGGTTCACCTTCCCAAATTTCCGCGGAAGTTTGGGCCAGTTCTCTGAGAATCTGAAGAAGAGTACATGTTCTTGCTCATCTTTATCACGACGTTTATGGATTTTGTACTGTAAAAAAAATTTAGTCGTAAATCTAGGCCTCATTCGGTTGCTGAGTAGTACTCATGTAGAGAGACAAGAGACACTCTCAACAGCGATACTGCCCAATTCACTATGTTCGAATCGCCATCGACCCTCATCTGAACATTGTAATTGCAATTCTTGTGCCCCATGAGCCAGAAATCCGGTTCTTCCGTGATTAAACTAAAATTTTGAAAGATTTTGTGGAATAAGTGACATTTAGAGCAAAAGATCTCCAAACATACCTGTACAAATGTTTCAGATTTTATGTCATTTCCAAGGCATTTCAGATTTTGCACCTAAAAAGGTTCATATTTTGCTGTGCAAATATAGAATGTAAGATACAAAATCATAAAATTCGCAGGTATCCCATCTGTTCAGAAAATTTGGGACAAAAAATGGAAGTTCTTCAAATACTCCTGCTATTGTTTTCTGAACCATTAACGATATTATCCATAATGGTGGCGCAAAAAATGTTTTGATAGAACAAGGAGGAAGCGACAGAAGAATCAAATGATACCAGAAAATAGTTTTGGAAAGCTCACCAATTTTTTATGCCTCAAATTTCTATAGAAAAATCTATTCCGTAACTTTTATTTTGAAACTTTTATAATTACATACATATCAGGTTGGTTGATGAATTCTGTTCCCACCGTTTCCTTCCACTTCTGAAAAAAATCCCAGAAACCCAACAATACTCCTACTTAGGGATAGAGTTTACGCAACGGTATGTCGTTGTCGCAAGTGCACACACAGCCAGCAAATTTACGACAGTTTTAATGCTCAATGGTTTTTCTTCCAATTTCTCTGTCTCTTCTTAGGTTTTTCTTTCAGAAGTTCGTAATTTTTCCAAGATTTTTCTATATAGACAATGCCTTTTCTATAACTGTATTTGGTGCATCAGTCTTTTTAAGAATCGAGAACTGAAAACCACAACAAGAGTTCTCGAATAAGATCTTTTCACGTATTATGTAAAAATTGATACGAAAAACTCAAAAAGCGATAGAAATTTATTCAAAAAATTTCCGACAATCTGATATTTCTAAGTGACAAGTTATTTGCACCATTTCCAATTCATGTAGACCTCATGGAAAATTGCTTCCTTCCACCCTCTCCTCGATCCTTTAATGATTCTATATAGCTTGTCTAGCACGATTGTTTACTCTCTTCTTACACTCCCCCCTCTCCCCCGCCTTCCCGCCTTCCCCTATCTCGCTTCTTTCTGTTCTGCTAAATTCATACGTACCGTTTTGGTATTTAATTGAATCTTGTGGAAACCCCTGATATTTTACTACTTAGCTGTTGTCAATGTAAATTTTCAAAAAATTTCGTATTTTTTTATAAACCTTAGCAATTTCAAGATCTTAAAGTTTCAGCAATGGACATTTTTGTCCTTTTCTATTCTAGATAACTAAACTCACAAAACAACCCGTGCCGTCGACGACCTTCTCCAGCTCGACCCTAGCTTCATTTGGATGCCTTTCTATTAGAACGTTTGAACATAACATGCATCCTAAAATCGCAATTTACATTGGGTAACTGAACCAGAGTACAGAGGGGGTAAACCAACCTTTAGACGGAATACTAGCCACTAAATTTACAAAGGTGAAGAGCAGAAGGATCATCAGGCGCATGGTGGCCCCGTCGAGGCTGTAAATGACAGACTAACGAGGAAAATCAACGATCGTAGCAATGTGTTTCGCACCTGTGCTAATAATACGTTGAGAATGTTCGCAAATTTTGGTGTAGTTGACATTCCACTGGGATTTTTAGAGCAATAAACTGGCGTTTGAACTCAGAATGAGCTTAAGGGTTCAAGAAGTGAATAGGAATGAAATTTTCTGCTTCTTCTACTTAAACGTTAATAAAATTTGGCACGTCGGATATTTTTAGCATTTTTTCATGGCTGCACGTTGATCAAAGACAGCGTTGAAAACATTGGAATGTTAGTATGCCAACAAGGGAGGAATGTTAAGGGCCTGGCATACTTCACGCGATTTTAGTCGCAAAGCGATTTGGCAGTTCGCCAGAAGTTCAGATCCAACACTAGCAAACTGCACAAGCATAGTGTGTATACCTTACGTGGATTGATGAAATGCCCTACCTTCTGTACATAAATGTGCTTACAATGAGTTATGGATAGTTGGAATAGTGCCAAATCGCGTCGAGAGTGAAATCGCGTGAAGTATGCCCGGCCCCTTGGTCGAAGTGGCCTTTTGATATGAGATATTAGGTAGTAACATAAGTTTTGTGACACTTATTTCATTTTCATCTAGAAAGCTCTAGAAACTTCAGCAAAGTCTACTATCTGGCACATATGAGCAGTAAACAAAAAACTATTTATTGGCGCCATTTTCACCTTTAGATATGGATTACAGTAAAATGAAGTGCAACTTGTGACAGCTTGAATCTCCATTTTTCCTTTATCTATAGAAATTTCTACATTCATCGCGCCCTCCGATTTTTTATGGATTTCTGGAGACATTAATAGTAATATGAAGTCAGCTTGGAAGTCCAGGCTTGTCAATGACGCAAGCTGGAAATTTGCCAAAAGTAATTCAAAAATTTTTTGAAAAGTTCAAAAGTTTGATTTTTCACGTGTGACATGTGTATATATTAGTTACAACGGGCCCCCAACATGTAGTTGAGAAAATTTCTGTGAGAAAGTTATGAATGTCTTTTCCTCTGAATGTAACAAAACTTATGTTACGACCTAATAAATACAGCCTGTAAGGGTATGAAACGGTGATTGCAAATTATCCTTCAATATGTGTTGCGGGTTTCTGAGTGATGAGCCGTGGAGGTTTTTAAGAACGAAAATTTGCAGCTGGGATAAAATCAGCCATAACATTTTATCTGGTTCTTGAATGAATGTGGAGTATCTCCAAGAACAGTTAGCGGCTGATTTTATCAGGTTGGTCAAAAAGTAATTTCGGTTGCTTTTAATGGATTGTAGAAATGTCATAGATAGATTTGCGTATAAGAGTATGGGACCATTTGAAAGGGTGAATCAAGGAGAATCGAATGTTTGATTTGTGCGCTCAAAAATTATTTTTCATAGTGAAATGGTAAAGGGAAGCAAATTTTTCGTCAAATTAAGTGCAATAATACATTAAACTATCGAATTTTATATCGAATTTTTGGCCATAAAACCCCTCACAACTTCTTGCCCAGAAATTCGCAGCAGATAAGTTGGGTAGATTTAGAATCAGTATTTCGTTCTCCTCAAAGCAAGGTACATACATCTCATATTGAAAGACCACTTCGACCAAACTTTCTTTCTTTGTAACTACAAATACTTTGCAATTTCTCATGTCCTATGTCAACAAAACCGTTAAGCGTTTTTACTCATTTGTAATAATCTAATTAGGCGAATTGCTCCTATTTCTGGTCGACAAGGGAGTTGAAGAGAGAAAGGTGAGAGAAGCTGGGTAGTGGCTGTATTCACGTCTTTTTCTTTTCAAAATCTGTAAAGGGCTTGGGCCAGTAAATCTATCAGTGCCGAGCATCTTCATGGACACCCCTCCAAAAACTACTCAGCGAATATTGGCCCTCTTTTTTTTAGAATCAACTTTCTTTCTTTCGTCATACATTCATGCGGTTTAAAATGCGACACAAGCCCCCTCCCTTCAAGAATGGGAAATTTTTGAAAGTTATTTAGAGGTGTAATGAAAATTTGCGAGTGACTTGTTTATACTTGTAAACAGTTGGAATAATTTTTTAAATTTTTCAAAAATTCAAGCTTGAAAATAATTTTTCTTTTTCTGTATTTTCGCGGACATGGGCCCGCTAAAATTTCGGGAACCATCTGATTTTTCGGGCGAGGCTAACGCCACCCACCTTCACTCAATAATTTCTTGTCTCCCTCCCCCTGTCGGAAATTCTGGGACTACCACTGGTTGCAGCAAGATTACTGCACCGTCTCCCCCCTCTTCCATGTTATTTGGCCTTACCTGCACAGCTCCACTTCGATCCACCGCATCTTCGGATCCCGAGACTGAAATGAACTTTACGCCCCATTTGCATGACTATGGGAAAATGTTTGGTTAAAGCATGAGAAGCTTTCATTTCCGTAGAAATACGTAAACATTAATTACATAGGTGTCGAAAACGTGTGTCTGCAAAGTTTCAGCTCAAATGGTTGAACTGCGCTCGTTTCTATAGCGCACATACCCTCTAAACTGAGAATTTTGAGTTTTATTTAAATATGATATAGATTTACAACAGCTTATCAAAGACAGCTTTTGGAGATCTAACGAGGGAAGGATACTTGGTGACCGTGGCTTTTTGCAATGAGATGCATACTAGTAGGTGCGTCTTGGAGCGCTGATTCTAAACCTATGTTCACTATCTAATGCGACTCCCTGAACGAAGTTATGGACTTTTTTCCATACTGTTTTTGCGAGATTTAGGCAGACAAAATCGTCAGTATCTAGGCTTTTTAGACTCTGATGTATCGGTGACAGTTTTCTTGTGCATAAGTTGAAGCTTTACTTTAACTGTACGTTCTTTTGTGGTGCGTAAGCGAACATTTTAACGATATTGATGAATCCTGCATCAAAAACAATGCAAATTTTGATGACAAGAAATGTGCATAACTTCTTTCGGAGGAGCGCACAGCAGATAATCAAAACAGATTTGGAGTCAGCGCTTTAATATGCATTTAATGGTATACTTTTCATTTCAAAAGGCCACGGTCACCAAGTATCCTTTCCTTGTAAGCGATGAATTTGTTTTTGAGACGCTTAAACGAGGAAAGGCAGCTTGTGTTGGAAAAAATCGTTTTTTTTTAGAATTACAAGAGAATGGCAAGGTCAGTTTTTTTCAGAAGAGGACAAGAAGCCTCGCTTTCACAGATTCTATGGAATTTGAAGCCTGTTCAGAAGCCTGTCATCTCGCTTTGCCTTGTAAGAATTGCACACTGTATAAATTTCAATTCAGCAATCGTAATGGCAACTCTCTTGGAATTAATCCATAGCTAACTCCTTCTTGTAAAATTCCTATGCTTATGATGGAGATTTCTCCCTTTTTTAGTTGTCTATTGCACACTCCGAGAACTAACACTTAAATGGCAGCCTTAGTTGGCACTTCTGAATATATTAAAATTGTTTGCAAATTTTGAACGCTAGGAAATTGTCATTTGAAGAGCTTGTACGCTTACTGCCTGTTCTACATATTAGGTTGATGCATAATCTTGCGCAAAAATTTCTGAAATTTTTTCCGATCCAACTTCAAGAATTTTTCTGATTCAAGGTAAAATAATACGAAAAAATCTTGAGTTTTCCACGGGTGCTTGAATCGAACTTCTTTGTTGGCATACGCAACGATACAAGCTGTTTGAGAGATATACCCAAAATGTGATTTTTCGAATTTCAATTGCTGAAACATCTACTGAAGTTGATTTTGGTTTGATCTATTTTTTTGACTAAGAGAACTTGGTAATAATCGCATGTCATTACGAATACTTATGAACCTTGATTCCTTTGGTTTGATTTACTGACTTTGTTTCGAATTGATTTTTTAAATTGTGATACAAGATACATATCACCTTTGATTTACATAACAAAAAGTATATTGCGTAAATCAATAAACAGTTTGTTTAAGCTTTTTTAGAACGAATTTTTATATTTTTGTGTGCAGGAATGTGCATCAACCTATTGTTATAAATCTTACAAGCCACTACAGTAGAGCGATCCTAAGTGCCCTAGAACATTGTATTTTTTCTTCACCTGTGCGAAAAAAAGCTGCTGTTACTACACTTAATCCAACCTTTAGTCCGTAAAGTAAGTGATTGCCGCTGAAAGAAAATTTCCTTAAGTTTATCAGAAAATGTGAATCATGTCTTACGACTCAAATTGTCATTCTGTCGTATTATCATTCAAAAATTTACCTGTCACACATGAAAAAAGCAATTTTCCAATTTTTGATGTCTTCCTCAATTGTTTCGGAAAAGCTTCAACTACTAGAGTTCTCCGAAATGCTTTCATATCAGCCATGTTACTAAATGAGGCCACTGAAAGCTTCAAAAGTTGAAAAAGATTAATGAGAGGATTTTTAGTTGTGTTACAAAACGGCCTCCATATTCAACTAGTTCATGTTCGTAATGGTGAGAACGATCGATGTATCCTTTCTCCTATCCTTTTTGAAGTTTTCCGGGGAAGACGAAGAAAGTACAACAAAATCTACTTCGCCGAAAAAAGCCCAAAACGTCAGAAAGAGCCGGAACGCCCCCTTATGCGCGCAAGGCTAACGCATGTGTGTTGATTTCGCAGCAGAGTTATTCTGCTTCATTTTCTGTCGTATGTACATCAAAATAAGTCAGAATTCTACCAAAAGTTCCAGAGACGTTTAAGCTCTTTCCGGCGTTTCTGAGCTTTTTTGGGCGCTTTTTGAGGGCTTTTGGGCGTTTTTCGGCAAATCATTTTGCTTCATTTTCTGTGGTCTGCACGCTTAAATAATTTCAGAATTCCACCAAAAGTTCCGGGGGGGGGGGGGCGTTCCTGCTCTGCCTAGCGCTTCTAGGCTTTTTGGGCTTTTTTGGCCCTTGTGAGCATTTTTGACGAAGTATGACGGGTCCTTAGCACTTTGCCTACACGAAAGAAAATTTTTCTATCTCCAACCTCCTCTGCCCACCACCACTTTATTACCACCCTAGGATTCGGGACAGGTGGCTTGTAAGCAAGCTGGATATGTTTTTGGGACAAAAAGTAAAGTGGGTGTCAGTTTTGAGGCCGAAAAGACACAAAAATTGTGAAGTTATTAGTCGACCTTCCATTTTTTTCAGTGTTTTTCAACGTCTAGGGTTTAGGTACAAAGCGGACTTCGTAAAAAATCGCAAAAATCAAGGCGTACTTCTTTTTTTTGCATTTTCCAAAAGCCACCTCGTCCGAGCCCTGTCCCTCCCAGGGCCCGGCAGGAGGTGGCATTTCAGAATTTTGAAAACGATATCCCCTTTGAAGCCAAAATTTCTTACGACTTCCCCTTTGACCCTATTTTTGACCCGTAAGTCCCTGACAAACAGATATACACAAATAATAAGATGGGCGGCCTCGGCGCTTATTATAGTAGTACTACCTGGCTTTCCTGGTCCAGCCAGGGTCATCAAGGTTTCAGCTCAATGGGTTCATCCGCAAAGGAATCTATAAAAAAACATAGGGTCAAGATTCGCACAAACTTTGACGTTTATATATCTAAGATACTACTCATTTATTAGTCAGCTGCGAAACTTTACAATTTACAATAGATTGCGATTGGAGAGCGCTTTCCGAGGCCGATCATAACGCTGTGAACCCTATTTAGGGCTGTATCGAAGCGGTGCCTTGGTGGTTTTGGAAGCGGATTTGAACATATAGTGATACTCTCGGCCTAGTCCACATTTATGTAAAGAAATCCGGGAAATTATGTGAAGGGAAGCAGGGAGCCACCCCAGGTGGCTCTCAGGTGGCGCGGGAGCCACCTAATTTCGAAAAACACTTACCATTTTTTAAATTCACATAAGTTTCTCATAATTTTTCATACTTTTTTTGTGCTCATGGGCCTCCAACTACACAGCAAATTTGGTGCCATATCGTTACTTGTGCATTGAAAACGAGCCTATTTTGTTATTTTCCTCTTACAGGAATTGCGATTTCAATTCCCGCCTGCGGGCAGGCTAGCGATCGGAGCACAGAATGTTCACATTGCTGGAATCTAAGTTCATAGGACAGTAGCATCAACAAGGAATGTTGAATACAGAATGATATGTGCATTGTTTATCGGTAAACAAAGGGGATTTCGAGCCAAAAACGATATCCAGCTTGTGAAAGCGCCACCCCCGCCGGACCCTGGTCCCTCCCCCTTGTTGAAAGAACGTACATTTAAGGAAATGCGCATATTCATGCTGATTCTTTCTATGCCACTTCTTATTTGCCTTTCAAATTTCTACTTTACAAGTATGTCTAAACATCGCGAAGCTTATCCATCCTACTCCTTTAGCGGAGAGCTTTATCACAAGCCATAATACTTTTATTCGACCCTTTTTTGTACTAGCTAATTCTTCTCATATTCTTTGATTCTTCACTCATGTTTACAGCCTTGAAGGCCCTAGTAAGTAGTATGTCTTAGCGCATCGTAGTAGTGTACCTAATTGCATATTCTATTAATCACATTAGACTCACGACATCTGACAATAAGGCAAAACTGCTGCCGCTGTCATGTGACTTGCCTCTTTTTTTCGTTCATGTTTTACGACATCAAGTTAAAACATTTTTTTGTTGAACTTTCAGATCAAATTTCGTTTCGTTAGAGTGTGAGCAACGAGAAAGCACAAAGAATATCTGAAATTTAAATAGCTCTGATGATGCTGAACTCTTAAGCTGAAAAGAGTCCATTATTTAAATGACACTCTTCCGCGAAATAAAACATTGCTATTCAAGTTTGTATGTTTGCGATGTGCTATTAGATTGTTTCTCTTAAACTTCTGAACATCTTCAGATGATTGCCCAATTATTGAAAATGGGAACTGTTCCATTGTTCAGGCATATAAATCCTCTAAACGCGAATCTATTACCACAGAAATTTTTAATAACATATAGTGCTGACCGTAATTCATTTTATCTCCCTGGCTTGTGTGCTATAAATTTTCTTACCTCTCCAAGGTGAGAAGGTTGTGAAAATCGGCCTAATGGTGTTTATACTGCGTCATTCGCGGTATTACATTACTAAAGACAAATAAATTTTTATATTCCGTTCCTTTCTACCACTAGACGCAATGGACAAAAATTACGACCTCCCTTGAAAGTAGTCAATAGTAGGGGAAGTTCGTCAAGTACAATCAAAAAATAAATTGCAAATCAAAGTAATCTCATCAATTTCGCTCTTTATTTCTGAATGGGACAATCTGAGAAATTCCAAAGGAGTTAAGCGTATGCATTCGAAAAATTCAATTTACAAGAGAAAAATCATTTTCTAAAATGAAGAAAAATTATTTTATTTTATTTTTTTACATATTGTACATACGTCACATAAAATGCTCATATTGCTTATATTATGTTTTAAGTGTCAATCAACAGTGATTCGAATTCGTTTTTTCAACTTCTTGCAAAATAGATACCAATAGACAGAAAAATAATTTTTCTAATTTTACTTTCCTGACATAAGCATTCGTGAGGTATATATATGGTATAAATATGGTATATTATAGGTATTAATATGGTATATATAAATATAAATATGGTATATTTTGATATGACAATTTGGTACACCCACAGATCAATTCCTAAGCTATGTAAAACCCAAGCTTTGTTCCCAAAAGGCAATAAAACTAAATTTTTTTTTCAATTATCGGCTCAAAATCTAGTACCTAGCTTCTGAAGTTCTTCAATTTTGAACACACGACCCTTCTAGGTTAGTTTCTCCTGCGAACAGCCCAGTTATCAAATTAGATCAGATGCTCTTTTGGACCTTTTTGCATGCATTTGCCTAATCAAATACGATGGCTTAGGAATTGTAAAAAGTAAACATTGAATGAAGTTCAGCCGCTACTGGCATACACCCACAGATTTCGCATCATTCTTCTCTTGGATTTACACCCGAAACACTCTTTTCCATCCGAGAGTTGGATTTTCTTGTCAGGACCATATAGTATCAGCGATAATACACTGTCTCTGTCTCTTTCTCCATTCCAACAACTATCTTCAATGTTTCAAAATTGTCTGTGGCTATATTAGTTAACTGACATTTATGGTCTGCTTCCCATAGCACCCTCTATAGTGCGTTTTTCACTTTCACAAAATTTCTCTTTCCATAACTTTCACATCAAGTAATTTTTACTTCATGTTCTGTTTCCCAAACCAAAGGAGCAAGAGAACATTGCTCAATTATCCATGGGCGATAAAAGACATCATGTTTTGAGCGACCGGCTAAAAACTGAGTGCAAACAAATTCATGCAATGCATTGATTTTTTCTTCCTGTTTTTCCAGAATTTCCCACGCGTTTTGCCGTCTCTCAGCCACAAGCATGCCTAGGTAATCTTTGCTTTTCTGACGTCTCCTCCACGTTCATTTTAGTAACTTCTATACTGCGCCAAATTTAGGATTCATAACGTATCCATGCTTAATATGTAATACTTAGAATTGTGAAAAGACAACTTGTTTAGGGAAGTTGGAATACTGTGCTTAGTTAAGTGTCAAAATTGTAATGGATCTGGTATAATTGTCCTGATTTTTAGGAAAAATCAAATAAAATTCTTTCTCTTCCCGTCCTTCGATCCATTACAAAACTATTGCACTATTTAGAGTTTATTCTAATCCAGTTCTTCACAGAAATCCTGAAAATCGAGAAATTTCGTTTATTCTGAGACGGATTTCAGGCACTCTGTGCGGCTCCAGTCTAAGGGCAGAAGGGATAGAATACTCTTCAAAAATATTTCCGACGATATATCGGGATTTTTCAAATCGAGCTAAATTTATGAATATATTTAGTTTGAAACCCTTTTGAACACTCATTTGTGTAGGATAAATATAAACGAAAATAGCAGACGAACGATCTGTGAACCATTTTTTTCAGAAATTTACCGCAAAATATTTTTTCTCCTATTTTCTTCTGCTCTTCATTACTGTCTTGCTTGTCCTCTCTTCCCATACTTGTTCCAGGAAACCCTCATTCCAATTTTTTCATGACTATTTCCCCCAGATTCTTCACATCCAATCTTTGATCTTATTGCCATCTCCCATTAGCACAGCTTATTGGCTACGAGTCGGTCTTTGTTCAACACATCCCATTTCCTTTGACGTAAAGCCACGTGATCTCTTCTCCTCTGATTTTTCCTTCCGTCTTCCATTTAAGAGATTATAGAGTTTGGTTAAAAAACCTCTCTACTTCCTTTACATATTTCTTTGCTTTTGTTTGTATAAGTTTTCGTTTCCCATTATTTTTATAAAAACGAAAATTGCAGGAAACGCAGCGAAACTTTGAATTTTCCGGTAGAAACTTAAATGGCAAAGAGGTGAGTTTTTCACCAGCACTGTAAAAATCACATTCCTTAAAAGGTTTAACCAAAAAGGGAATTTAGGTAAGGACTTCAGTCTATTGTTCAGTGAGTCTATTGTTCATTTTACAATTATTCTCGCAAAAATTTCAAGATAGGATGAATTCCGCCAACGGGCGCATATTTTTGGCTATAAAAATCAACGACCACAGAATGCTTCGGAATGTTGTCGCAGCTGTGTAAACCTCATGTTTTTATGTCAACATCGTACATTTGTAGAATTTCTTTTTTGGTGTACGGTAACTATCGGATGGTCACTGCTACAGAAAACAATCAAAGATGCGGAAATTTATAGATATAGACAATACCCTAACTATCAAATGTTTAGTCGCCTATAATTCAGAACAGCTTTCGCGATTGAGCACTATACTGTAGCAAGCTTCAATCTTTAGTGTAGTAAATGGATTACCAATTCCCTTTCGTTAGTGTAGGATTACGGTAAGAACTTTTGAAAAAGTTTTGCGACAGTAGAAGCATATTTTTCAAAAATTGCCCGAAAGAACTGTAAACGTGATCACCAATGAAGCTAACTGAAGGCTGCAGATAAAAAACTGGACATGTTGCTAATGGAGTATAAAGATTCAAAACTTTCGTTCCTATCCTCAGATGGAGATGAAGTATGGTTAGTAGTTTCCCCCGGAACTTCTCGGTTGAGAATGAGGGCTAGCTGGATTATTTTGAAAAGGCTAATTTTTGTAACTAATTAAATTAGTTTTTAAAATTAAAAAAATTATATATAAGATTTATGAACAAAATTTTTTTCGGGTGGTTGTGGGCCTGCAAAAATCTTCAGAACCACCCCAAAAATTTCTTCGGAGTGCATGGCTAACGCCACCACCATCTCAAAATTGTTTTGCCACCCCCCCCCCCTCCCCGGACTGAAATTCTGGGACCGCCAATGCTATATAATCGTACGGAATCCTTGCATCCTTGTCCTTGGTCGTAGCGGGTCTTGTAAATTTAGAGAAGACTGGCCAGGTTTATCAGCATTGCTAATTCATATATTAGGTCATTCCGAAAGTAATTTCGCTTTTTTCAAACGGGCGCCACATTCGATGGAACAAACATTTCTAAGGGATTTTGGAAGCGGTCGATGCAGAATTTCATTCTCTTTCTAACGGTTATGAAACTGTTGCAAAATAGTCAATGAGCTTTCAGAAAATAACCAAAATCTGCGACCCATGCTTTTTGAGATGGTCAAGTTTCACGATTTTTCTAAACTTTCATATCAATCCTCAGAAAGAGTTCAAGTAACGATTCGATAGAGTAAACTATATAGAATACAGTACTACTTTTTTCTCTTTCTCATAGCTCGCCATAATTTGAAAAAAAAATTTTTTTCAAAGCCATCGGATTTTGGCAGGCCCACCTCAGCCACAATCGCCTCAAACATCAGTAATTACTCGGAATTTCAAACTTTCAAGATGATATATGACTTAATATTGATTTTATAAAGCAAATGAGGGTTTACGAATTCGAAATATCAAGTTTCGAGTTTTTCGGGTACAGCCTGGGGCTCCTTAAAAAATTGAATCGTGATAATTTTATCCCCGAAAACTAAACGAATCGGAAACAAAAAACACCTGTTAGAAAGAGGAGAAAATGCTGCATCGAATAATGCCCGAGCTGCTCTTCCTTTGATGTTCTACGAGGATTTAGCTGTACAAATATGGAAATCGGTAGCATCAGTTAAAATTCTATTAAAAATGTATGACAAGCTATGGAAAAGGGGAAAAAGTTGGGCTGTATTCTATGAGGTTTCCTCTATCGAATCGTTACTTGAACTCCTTCTGAGGATTGATATGAAAGTTTTAAAAAATCGTGAAACTTGACCATCTCAAAAAGCATGGGTCGCAGATTTTGGTTATTTTCTGAAGCCCCATCGATTGTTTTGCAACAATTTCATAACCGTTGGAAAGAGATTGAAATTCTGCATCGACCGCTGCCAAGACCTCTTAAAGATCTTTGTTCCATCAAATGTGGCGCCCGTTTGAAAAAAGCGAAATTACTTTCGGAATGACCTAATATAATATAAGCTTTTCGCTCCACCTCTATCTCTAGCTTTGAAGTTACGACAGGTCAACGTGACAGCAGATTCCCAGTAATTATAAAGAAGGTTGTTACACTATGTCAATTGCTTCAAAAACATGAACAAAATTTGCTGGAATCAGCAGATCTGTAAGCTTCACTCGAAAAGTTTTTAGAATCTTTAAAATGACCGATGATTTGCAATGGGAGCATTGTGCTGAAGGCTTCTACCGTAATTCTACAGTAGTATATTTTTGGCATTAATGTCAAACTATTATAACTCGGACACTGAACTGTGAAGTAAGCCTTTTTCTTTGAAGTCCAACTCGTCGAGTTCAGTGAAATTTCCGATGTAATGAAGTTCTTAACAGATATTCTACTTTTCCAACCCCTTACTGAGAAAAGCGCGTCACCCTTTACGGCAGATAATTGAGAGTAATCTATGCAGTACTTGAGCTTTTAGCTGTGTAAAAGCATGTAAATAAACATTCTAAACTGCCAAATAAGTTTTATTAGGTTTGTGTAACGAGAATCGGCTGGTATTATCACATTTCAAGCATTCTTGCAGACGAAGAAGTCTCTAGGGTATTTTTTATTCTCTAAAACAACGAAGCAATTTCTACGTACCTAAGTGCATTTATCATTTTCGGACGTTTTGACCCTAGCTGAAAGATTTCTGTAAGCTCCAAGCTTCCGCATGATTATTCAAAACATCACTACTTCCAAAAAGTCCAGGGTTCATGTTTCCAGATTCTTCTTTAGCTGAATCAAGTAAAAAAACCGCAATTCCGGTTATTAGGCTTGGAACACTATCCAGTGCGTTAATGCTTTCGCATATCCCATAATTTCTTGCTGAGCATTTCTTTAGAGCACATTTTCCACTAGGGTAAATGTTTGATGAGGTTGCACAGTTAAGCAAGCTCATAATCTTGATTGAATATATGCATTATTCAAGCTATCCCATTTTTTCATGTATGGATATTCCAAATGCGCAACGAAGTGGAGCAGTAAATTATACTACTGCATGAGTGGTAGACGCAAAAGTGCATATTTTATGTATTGCATTCCTTTTTTCTCATAGAAGTAGGTGAGAATGGGTGGTGTTATGACGATTATGTAGCTAACTAGCTTTATTCTAGATGTCTCATTCTTTGGAAAATATCCTCCTTCCCCTGTCATCCTGAATACTTTTATGAATAGTGATAATCAGGCAGCAGTGATAGATTGGAACATGAGCCTTGCACGGAAAATCCCTGGAAAATTATTCAAAAATGTTCAGATAACCGTTTAATCCACACTTACTATTCGTTTTTTATATTATAGGTGTAGTTTTTTCTGATGCCCAAGAGTATAATTTTACAAATTAAGAAAAAAATCGATTACGAAATTTCGTTGAGATAACCGATCTTTGAAACTTTATTACAGTCAAAGAGGTAGGAATGAAACTCAAATGATAAGTAAAATTAGAAGCTATTGGACTTTCTAGTAATGAGAAAAGTTAAGAAAATTAGAAAAATTACAAAAAATTTGTGTGTTTGTTTTATTAGGTTTTTTCTCCTGCTATGGCAACTATAATCTTTGCTTTATACATTGTTAGCTAGAATGAGCACGACTTGCTTTCGTTCTTATTGTAACAAACGATTTTTTGAAGTCAGGTTTTCAAAAATCTTAGGTGTAAGATTCAATTTATATTGCACCCTTATAGTTAATGTTGGTGATAGAGTTATTGTTACTTTTCCACTGTGCGCATCGTAAGCCTTAAATACTATAATATGTGTTATGTTATCATTGATAACCGTATTTAAACATGCCGTGACGATTACGGTGACGATGAGTACCCTTTTGATTCAACTGGATTGGCGGCTGGAAGGCGGAGCTTCGTGATCTAATTAAGGCTAGATCATGATCAGAGAGCACGCGTGCAAGAAAGACGCAGACTGCGTCGCGGGCGAAAGCGGTCTTAATTGGGTCACAAGGGCCTGCCTTCCAGCCGCCAAGCCAGTTGAATCAAAGGTACTCAACGGTTCCGAAGCGAGCTTTTATGATGTGGACTTGCCATTGCATATTACCAAGTTAAAAATCGAATATCTCATTTCACTCAATTTGTTGTTAATGTCTTCACTTGTATGTACCGAAGACATAAGTCCATAGCTCGATCTGAGCCACTAACCATTTAAGAAAAACAAAAACACTTTTTAATTCCTTCAAAACACTGATTTGAGGGAATTAAAAAGTCATAGGATGAACAACATACATTTACAAAAACACAGTTCATATTTGACCCAGAAGGGCTAGAAATTAACCACTTTCTCGGGATGTAAATCTACGCAGTATCCAATTATCTGGTCCAGCTTATGCATATGAAGCCCTCGCGTTTGCCAGCATAATCTACAATACATAGCGTTTTGAGTTTTCTACATAGTTTGCTTGGGTACCATTTGATCATGGATAATCGTTATTTTTGATTGAATAATCTATACATAAGCTCACATGCGCATCCTTGCGTTTGAGAAATGGTCATTTGCATACAGAACGTCATAGAATGTACACGTACATCAATCGCGCTTCAGTAATATTTTTTCGATACATTTTTAGCAAAATTTACTTAATTTATTCCTACTTTTTGGGGAAGCGAGAAATGAGAGAAGAGAGGGAGGTTCGATGTTGAACAACAGAGATTTGTATAGGAACGAAAAAAAGGGAACAAATAATTTGAAAAATAAACCAAAAGCCAAGAAAATTGCACTTTGACAGCAAGTGATTAGCTGTGGGACAAACTATTAAATTTGAATGATTGAGCTATAAAGTCAAAATGACGTCCAAGACCCACCCTACCGTAAGCGATATGTACAAAAAAGAATCTGGTCCTTGGGACATCTCACGTCGAGTTTGCCTGACATTACACATCCTTGGACTTCCAGATACTCTGT